CCAGAATTCAAAGAAGAAACCACACATAAAATATTCTGGCTTGAATAATAATGAAAAAGGTGTATTAAAATGTTTTCTTAATATTTGTTTAGAAGTCAGAGTGAAAAGGAGAGACAGAGCAATCTTGTGTTTGACAGTTTCTTCCCCAAGTGGCCCCAGTGCCCACGCTGGGCCAGGCCAGCGCTGGGAGCTGGAACCCCATCCGAGTCCTGCAGGAGTGGAATGGCCAAGTACTTGGCTGGGCAGCCTGCTTTTACACCATTAGCAGGCAGCTGGGTCAGAAGCTGAGCAACTGGGACGCATGCAGGCAGCTGGAGTGAGGAGAGGTGCCGGGTGTTAGACCTAGGGATTCTGGTATGGCAATGTGTGTCTCCAAACCAGCTTGCTTTTTTTCTTTTTAAAGATTCAATTTTTATTGGAAAGGCGGATATACAGAGAGGGAGACAGAGAGGAAGATCTTCAGTCTAATGGTTTACTCCCCAAGTGACTGCAACGGCTGGAGCTGAGCCAATCTGAAGGCAGGAGCCAGGAGCTCTTCTGGGTCTCCCATGTGGGTGCAGGGTCCCAAGGCCTTGGGCCGTCCTTGACTGCTTTCCCAGGCCACAAGCAGGGAGCTGGATGGGAAGCAGGGCCGTTGGGATTAGAACTGCGACCATATGGGATCCTGGCACATACAAGGCAGGACTTTAACCACTATGCTATTGCGCCGGGCCCTCCAAACCAGTTTCTTAGCCACGAGAACAGTTGCTCCAAAATGCATGGTGAAACTCTTGTTGGAGTGCCACCGAGCTCTGGCTGCTCTGCTTCCAACCCAGCTCCCTACTCATGTGCCTGGGAAGGCAGTGTTAGAGTACAGAAGTGTACATGTGGGAGACGAGGATGGAGCTTCTGGCTTCTGCTGTTGGCCCAACCAGCTCTGGCCATTACAGCCATGGGGGAGTGAACCCATGCATGCAAGATTTTTCTCTCTTTTGTCCCTTCCACTTTACAGTCTTTCAAATAAACAGATACAAACAGCTTCAAAAAAAAAAAAAAAAAAAAAGCAAATCAGACCCGAAATAGAAATAGGGATTAATAAAAATGGCAGCCTAATGCATCAAAATAGAAATCAGTGTAGCAAAACCAATAAAGCCAAAAATTGGACTTAAAAGGCTTTAAAATGCATTAAATCCCAAGGCAGTCAAAAGGGTAAGAAGCTACAAATATCAAAAAACAAAACAAGACTGACTGCAGAGCTCATTCACTGTAAGGGTAACGGGATATTTAGAACAGCTTTATTTCAAAATATTGGTGATTACATGAAATGTAAAAAACTCCTTCAGAGACAAAACTGGTCAAGTTTGACACAAGAGAAAATCTGAATTACAAAAAAATACATTTGCAATAAAAAATTTTCCCTAAACAAACTCTAGGCACAGACAGTTTCAAAGGTATAGTCAAGTGTTAATAATCATACCAAGCCTACAGTAAACTCCTCCAGAAACCAGGGAAGCCATGACAACCCTGAAACCAAACTAGGGGCCCGCACTGCCCACCAGCAGAGACTCACACGTCCGCAGTGGAAAGCAAACGCGATGCGGAGACAGCGCTGCTTCAGGCCTCTTCCTCCTGACTGGGTTACCGCGGCAGCGCCGGCGCAGCAGAGAAAGGGGCGAGCTCAGTTCAGCTTTCCTCTTTGTGTCTCGTGTGCTCACCTGTCCTTCAACCCGCCACACAGTGACCCTTGCCAGTGCTGGGGCCATGCTCCTAAGACTCCCAAGTTTCTGCTTTACCTCAGCTACATGAAGGAAACAATATAGGAAATAATAGTCTTACCCACTTTCCTATAGCCCCTTGCACCTTTTTACCCTAATTAATTATGTAAAGATTGTCAAAAATATAATAAAAAAATAATTAAAAAAAAAGATTTCCAAGTTTCCACAGGACTGTGAGTATAAAGTACACTGTTGTGTATAAAGTAACCATTCTGGGGTACTCTGTTATAGCAGTAGACAAGAGACAAAAAGAAATATAATGGCAATACAGAAAAGTTACAACCACCGTGTGTGATTTATGAAAGCAATGCAAGGTAGCATTAACATTTGAAAATCAATGACGGGGCCCGGCGCGATGGCGCAAGTGGTTAAGGTCCTCGCCTTGCATGCCCGGGATCCCATATGGGCGCCGGTTCTATCCCGGCAGCCCCACTTCCCTTCCAGCTCCCTGCCTGTGGCCCGGGAAAGCAGTTGAGGACGGCCCAAAGCTTTGGGACCCTGCACCCATGTGGGAGACCCCCAAGAGGCTCCTGGCTTCGGATCGGCATAGCATCAGCCGTTGCGGTCACTTGGGGAGTGAATCATCGGACGGAAGATCTTCCTCTCTGTCTCTCCTCTCTGTATATCCGCCTTTCCAATAAAAAAATAATAAAAATAAATCTTTAAAAAAAAGGAAAATCAATGATGATAATTCACCATATTAAAAAAAAGATTCATCTATTTTTATTAAAAAGGCAGTTCAGATTTATGGAGAGAAGGAGAGACAGAAAAGATCCTCCATCCGCTGGTTCACTCCCCAATGGCTGCCACAGCCACAGCTGAGCTAATCTGAAGCCAGGAGCCAGGAGCTTCTTCCAGGTCTCCCACATGTGGGTGCAGGGTCTCAAGGCTTTGGACCATTCTCCGCTGCTTTCCCAGGCAACAAGCAGGGAGTTGGACAGAAGTGGAGCTGCCGGGACATTAAACTGGTACCATAAGGGATCCCGGTACTTGCAAGGGGAGGATTTAGTCATTGAGCCATCGTGTGCCAGGCCCAGTAATTAACATATTGCCAGACTAAAAAATTAAAACACATCTGAAAGTATCAATAAATAGAGAAAATATCTTTTCCCCTCAAAATGTATTCATGGTTCTTAACAGGATGACTTTACACTCAATCAAAAGTTCTAGAGGGTGACAAGGTGACAAGTGATAAAAGGCAAAACGGTTGGAAAGAAAGATGAAAACTCTTGTTGGATCCTACAATGGCGTATGTGAAAAAGCCAAAGAACTATTTGGGCTAAAAAGAGAATCAAATGAATTCAGCAAGATTGTAGATTACAAAGTAAACAAGAAATTACACAAATTGTATTTCTGTGTTTCAGTAGTATGCAACTGGAAAATAAATTCACTAGCATAACATTAGCCATGCAACTTAGGGGTTTTACTGCTAGATGTCTGAACTGACTTCTTGAGTGAAGAATTAAAGAGCTAGGTAAATGGAGAGAGAAGTCATGTTTAAGGCTTGGAGATTCAGCATTAAGATGCCCGTTCTTTCCAAACTGAGAGGAATCGGCTGATTCCAAAGTTCACAGACACGCTAAGAATCTAGGAAAGCCAAAACAATCTTGATGACAGCTAGAGGATCCCCTCGACCTGACTTCGAAGCAAAGCACAAAGCTACTGTGACCCAGATGGGGTACCCTTAGTGCAATGACCAATGAATAGAACGCAAGAGTAAGAATTGAGAAATAAAGTTGACTTACGCAGTCAACTTCAAATGAATGCACCAAACCAACTGAATGCAGAGAATATTTTCAGCCAACAGAGCTTTGCCAAACAGATAATCTTATGGGGGTTGGGGAAAAAGTAAACCTTTGATCTTTGCCTCACAGCATACACACAAATGAACATGAGACAACCACAGACCTAAACATCAAAACTAAGATTATAATGCATCCTGAACAAAGGGAAAATATCTTCACAACCTTGGGTCTGGTGATGGTGCTAGAAATATATGCATCTAATAAAGCATTTATTTTGTTGTCATATAAAGGATTTCTGCTTTTCAGTAGTAAGAAAACATGGCCAGAGATTTGGATATCTCAGAAAAATGTCTTAAGTATATGAAAAGTAAAAGTCATTAGCCTTCATGAAAACTAAAATTACAGTGATACATATCACATTAGGATAGCTAAGCCTAAAATGCCAACACCAGATGTTGACAAGGACATAGAACCAGAAGAACTTCTATAACTGCACATTTGTAGTGATTTTGGAAAAATTTCTGGCAGTTACTTCTGCCAACATTTTGCTATTAGTTGTTTCACAATGGTAATAAAGACAGATCCACAAGGAATTTGTATAGTAAGATTATTTACAAAAGCCCTAAACTGTAAATAACACAAATATTCATAACGAGTTTGGTAATATGCTCATGCAACAGAATATTCCTGAGTGACAAAAGAAACAAACTGTGGACACATGGAAGAACCCGGACGAATGTCACAGACATGTAGGGCAGCAGACGTGACAGTGAACACCCTGTGCGGTTCCACATCGTGTCCTTTATCAGTTCTTCAGTATAAACACTGAATTATTTTTGAATTCACTAAATTTTCTGATGAAATGTTTCCTAAAAATCTTTTATTAAGAATACATTTCATCATGCTTTCTTTGTTGTACACCCAATGTTAAAGTCACCTCAAAAATAGCCCAGATGTTCAACTCTCTTTGAAATGTAAAACCACACCTGGATAAACTGATTTGTCAATATCCTATTACATTTCAAAACACACAAGTCATACATTGTCATCTTTTGTAAAAGTTAATAACACTGTGGATTAAACAATTATGTGTACTGCACAAGTATGGAGACATTAGAAAATTAGAACAGCTTATGTATATAAGCATATGGATATATATTTAACTTATACCTATTTTATTTAGACCAGAGCATTTGCAGGTTCACGTCTTTGGCTTACTTGCACGTACGGTACAGTTCCTGGGTGAAGTGTTCTGTGTTGCTGTTCTAGCTGCAGCATTTCCGGCACAGCCTTCTGCAATGTTGTGCTGGCGATGCATAAAACCTGCGTGATTCAGGGCTGCATATACTAAAAAAGACACTTAGTTGGTGAGAGGTAGGGATGATATTCCTGTATAATAACAGAAGGTAAGTAGGGTGAAACTGAACTTGAAGCAAGTTTTGCAGTTCTGGTTGTGATGAACAGTGAGAGACTTAAAAATGCTTCAATAATGGAGAAACACTTTTTATTTTATAGGAAAAGTTTTATTTGATAAATATAATTTCATAAACCTTAAAAAATTACCAAGAGCTGTACAATAAGTATACTGCATTTACTGACAATGCCGAGAAGTTCTGGAGGATTACACCAGATGGCCACAGTGTCTCAGGTCTAACATTTCAAACCAAATATTGCTACAGTATTTCCAGTTATTTGTTCCTCATAAAAAATCTAATAATTACCATTATCACAAATGTATCATTCATTATAACCTATTTTTTTTGTAGAAATACCGCTCAAGTTATTTTACATAAAACAGCACTTTAACAGTGTTTTTAATTTTATGAAAATAGGCAACTCACTTTAAGATAGAAATAAAAATGTCTTTATGGGGGTCCAGAACGAACAAAACACACTTTCCACGGAATTCTTTGGTGTGTTAATTTTATCAATACCTGCTTATATGATGCTCTAAATTGATCTTTATAGGAAAAACACAAACATAGAAGATTTTTGCTCCTCTCCTTACCCCCTCAGCTCCCAGGAGATTCTCAGAGTACCACATTTTAAACATGTTTGGTTCTTACTGGAAATTTTTTTTTTAGTGGCCTTGACTCTCTATCAGCAATTTCAAGCTCATCAGACAAGTTTAATTTCATAATCCTCTGCAGCAGAAAAGAAGCCAGTTTTGATATTAATAATAGGGTTAAGTGCAAGTAGTTCCTAGCAGGATGATTTGCCCCACACTTCATCTCCTGCTCAGGACAGCGTGGGCACCGGGTCAGACCTGGGAGCCTTTGGGCATCTCGCAGTTTCAGACCCAAGGAGCCTGGTGGTTAGCTAGATAGCCAAGCCCCGCGTCTCCCTCTCCTCTTGACACGGCACAAGCCCTGGTAGCTGTGGTTGCTCCACCCAGGGTGAGCCACGCCTGCCAAAGCTGAGTCACTGCAGGTGGCTCCTGAGCAATTTGGAAACCTGACCAGGCGCATGCCACTATCTTCAGGCCTACAGCCGAGGCAAGGGCAAGCAAGAGAGGCAACAGATTTGACAGCATTAACTAACTTGCAGTTAACACACTTCGCAGTGCTACCCTGGTTCTGGGAGATAAGAGTAATCGACATTATACTTTCGAAGGAATGTGAAAGAAATATGCAGAGAGGAAACTTTTCTGAGATTACTGACAATAGTTTTACAACACAAATATTAACCCTAGAAAACCGAAAACTTGTGGATTGTATTACTTTTTTACACAGAAGATCCTTAAAATTACAAGATATTCTTTAAATATGGTGTAGGCTTTGAACAAAGATAAGCACATCAGGACACCATTTACCATATTTTAAAAAATAGTTTCCTTAACTAATTTTAAATGTGAATTAAAAAAATGACATTAATCACGCCTCAAGCACCGCACAGGTGCCCCAACTTCCGCCTTGCCACTACTGGCCACAGGTTACTCGATGATTTGTAACCCTTCTCTGGGGGGGGAGGTCAGTTCATCTGGTGGCAAACAAACGGTGTAAGGTAGACATGATGCAGGCCGCCAAATGTCACTTTGTTATATGTATGTTTTATAAGACTAAGAGAAAGAAAATTCCAGGTTCCCTTTCACAAAACTACTCTGTTGCAGGTTTCCTCTTTGGAACACGAATTGGTGACTGTCTCCCTTGTCTTGTAAAGATAGAGTATCCCTGGACGTATCTCCAGGGTAACTCATTTTCCCCAGCTATAGATCTGGAGTAGCAAAGTTAAAGGACTATTATGAAAATTACTATTTAGCCACAAATTAATAACTTAATATCCTTGCATTACTGAGACAGGCAAATTGTGTATGGCTAAGAAGGCAGCTTACCAGCAGTTTCTGTGCCGTCTGCCCTCCTCTTCCTATCATTCTATTGGTACAAGTCCCCGCCCATGCAGAGGGAGGGCAGGGAGACGCACCAGGAGTCTTCCAAAAGCAATTATTACAGTTTTATTTTTCAACAATTTCAAATAATGTTTATATAATCATTCTATGCTCAGATATGGGTAGTAGTTCTTAAATAATAATCATTTCTAAATCCTAAAATATTTCTTCTTAACAAAATAAATGACAATATTTATAACTTTGGGGAGAAATTTGAGTTTTGAAGTATAATTAAGTAAAGCAATATGTACCTGGTTAATCATTCTTAACAACTTATTGCTTTCATTATCTGACAAAATTTTCTGACAATGAAACTTATAATGGGATACTATGCAGAATTCTAGTAATTTTCTGCTGTAACTTATAAAACATATACTCTAACCCCAAATAAGGAAGATTATTATCTGAAATCCTTTATTCTAAAATTCAGCTTACAAAAAGGCAAGAGCAATTCTAGACTGGCCACAATAGACTTTTTCTCTTTTTATTGATTTGATTGTCCATATTTTAGTTTGTATAATCAAAAATATTTGAGATATTCAAATACTGTCCAAACTATTTTTATTGATAGGGTTGAACTTTACATTATCATGAAAGAACAGAAACTTCAGATAAAGAAAATAAAACAAATTTAGATACTTAGAGCATGCAAAAGATTCAATGATAACACATTAAATTAATAATATGCTAAGGGTTTCCAATTTACCTACTATGGGTTCTTCATATTCTGTCACAAAAATAGTAAACATCAATTTGAAATCTGGTGACTGGACCTGATTCCTGATTTCTATATAAGAGAGTCTATATCCCTTGCATTTATATGGTGTTAGCTTTCCGGGCTGTGTTACAGTACCTGGGGAGACTGCCCAGACTGTAGTAAATAATGGTTGGAAAAGCGTTCTTCTATTTTCATCTGCGAACTTACAAAGGCTACTGAATGAACAATACAGGCCAGGGAGGGACCAAAACTCCTTACCATTCATGTTCATTTTTCTCATGAAAAGCTTCAAATATAACTCTAATAAAAAAATAGAGTTCTTGAGACAAACTTTCAGAATAATTTACAGAAGCAGATTTAAATAGTCAATAACCAAGCTAACACTAAAAAATACACATAAGTTATCTTTTTTTCCCACTTTCTTGATATTAAAATAAAGTGGCCTCAGCAACAGGCTGAAATGCCATTAGGAGTCCCTTAAGTGCAAGGGACAAATCCAGACAAAGAGACAGGAACTGTCTCTTTATTCACACACTGTGACACGTTGAAGGTCAAGGTGGAATACGAGGGATTCACGTTAATGCTTTGTTTGTTTGCCACTTTAACTCTGTGTGGGGATGAACTACTTGAAGTTTCAGCAAGAGATTTCAGAGCAAGTGTGGCCATTCACAGGATGGCCAATACTGAATTTTAGCCTAGCAGGTGAAATGGCTCCCACAGAGTGCTACTGCCCCTTTAACAGGTAGACGAGTCCATAGTGGAGAGAGTCAAGATGCTCCTGTCGTTGGTATAGAAAGGATCCGAGGCACTCCATGATCTAAAGCAACAATAAGAGAAAAGTTTGGCTCACTAGGACCTATGTTTTCATCAAGAAAAAAAGACTCTCAACAGGACCAAAATGTAATGAGTTTTAGAATAATCACCGATGGACTTTTTTCTTTTAATGATAATGAAAATTTTTTCATGCTACACTGAACACTCACTCTATCTATATGATACAAAACCTTGACAAAAATAATGCTCTATTGATCATATGAAAATAGCCAAAATGCAGACATTCTTTACCATTAAAACAATTTCTACAGGTAGTAAAGCATGAAATGCTTTTAAAAACCTTAACAATTATTAAGAAATAAGTATTTTATTGAGAGATATTCATATTCAGTTTTATTGAAAAGAAACTAGGCTATATTCTAATGTTGCAAAAACAAACAAAATCCCACTTACCAAAAGCTATGGAAACAATTAGTACTATGTTCATACTGCTGGTCATTTCATTTCTGCTATAAATAGTATCCTAAATATTTTAGCATGATCAGTTTGAGTATGGTAATGATTAATTCAAAAGGCATCAAAGACACAAGTGTTTTCGCTTGACTCTGACCAGATGATCCTCTACTGGTCTGGAAAAGCTAACTGCTGCCTGAATGACAGGGTCCTTAAACAAACTCGTTATATAATGGTTTATTTGCAGCTGGAAACCTAAATTAGCTTGAGTTAACTTACACTAATGTAACTGAAGATCAAAAGTAACCTACCGTGCTTCAAATAGACTGACCTAGTTCAAGGGCAATATTAGTATTACCAAGTGCAAGGTGGCTTTTACTGTGAAATTAAATTAACGCCAGAGTTGCCACTCTCTCTATAGAGATGTTGGAAGAAGAAATCAACATTTAATTCATCTTTACCAAATACCTCATTTCCTAGACTCTAAGTTTATGCATAGTTCATGCTTAAATCAATTATCAGGAGAGCTCAGCCATAATCACGTTCAAAATCTCGACATTTTGCAGATTTGGCAGACAGAAAGACAAGCAGCAACTGCATCAGTTCTCCAGCTTTACTAATTTTCAGAAAAGCTGAAAGTTGCACCGCTCAGGGCAAGAAAGAGCTTTCCCACTGCGTTTCTCTGGCACCTGGAACCGTGACTGGCACATATCAGGCACTGAGGATTTACAGAGTAAGTGAATGGTATGAGAATATAAGACTTCTTTTTTAAAAAATTTCTTAAACAGTTAAATTTTTGTAGAGGAAAAATTATAACTTTCAACTATAATTATCAATGCTGGAATTATCTGGAGTCAGACATCCAATCTTGAATTGTTGATTTATATTAGTTTTTCTTCTTTCCAACCATTGCTTACACAGAATTTGTTAGTTTTCCATTTTTCTCTTTTTGAGGCATATGTGTGCATTCATAGGCTAAATATCATTTACACAGGACATTAAACACCTCAACTGTATATTAATTCCTTTCCATGAAAAAAGACAGTTTTTATTAAGAGAAAGTTATTGTTGGCAAAATACACACAAAAGTACAGCTTTTTAGGATATGTCATGGCATATCCAGAGCTCTGTCTGAAACTGAGCTCGCAAATGGCATTCTTCCTCGACAATAATTGATAACATCTAAGTAGATTTCTGTGCCCGGGTGGGTGGTGGCCACTCAATCAGGAGACAACTCTGCCCGATGAAAGCACTAGCTGTATTTCTCCAGCGATGCTCAGTGCCCTTAGGCTGATTTTATTTACTTGAGAGGTGCAGTTAGAGAGCCCAGGAGAGAGGGCCCATCTGCTAGCTCATTTCCCAGACACCAGCAAAGAAACTGGGAGTCTGGCTCACAATCCAGCTCTCCAGTGTGGCTTGCAGCTCAGTTACTTGAGCTCTCACTGCTGCCCCCTTGGGGTCTGCATTAGTAGGAAACTGGAGTTAGCAGCTGGAGCCAAGAAATGAACCGAAGCATCCTGGCACAGGACGTGGGTGACCTGATTGGTGGCTTAATCCTGGGCCAAACGTTTAAAGTTCAAATAGTATATTAATGGATCAATAGAGATTTTCACATAGCCCTTTGAAAAGCACCGAATAGCTCTGTGTGTTATGATTTTATCCTCTAGAAAAAAATTAAGAAATCCAAAAAGATTTTTTAGATTATTCATCTGAGGAAAAGAGGGAGAAAATAACAATAATATCTAATAATGTAACCTGAGGTGTTAGATAAAATTGGAAGGGCTTTTACAGTCTGTCCAATACGATGTTAACTACCAAATTAGACATTTCATTAGGAAAATGAAACAAAAAAATCACCAAAATCTCAGAAGAGAATACAGCACAATTTTAACTGAAAAGAAGTACAGATGATAACAGCTGGCTTTAAATTAAAGTATCAAGGTAAGTATGATAACCCCTAGAACAGGTGCCAAAGAGGCAACACAGCATCAACACAGCCATGTAATAAAAACTAACACACAGCATCTACAGAGCTGACAGCAAAACAGGCATATGTTTAAAGCAGAAAATACAGTTTAGCTCATTTAATAGTAATTCTAGCTAAAAAAAATTATTTGCAGAGATGTACTTTGTCATAAATGGGGAATTTGTGCTAAAATTTAAAAAACATTATGGTTACTCCATTGTGGTATCTTCGCTTAATTCCCACCTTGGTTCTATGCAGTAAAGCTGTTACTAGTAAAACAACAAAAACTAGATCCTTCTAGAACAAACTTTGGGAAATTCATCAGCCTAGGCACATGACAGAGCTATTTTCTATCTTACAACTATGTAAGTCATATTTTCTAGTTAATAGAATCCTTTTATGTGAAACAATACTATCACAAAATGATATCACAGTATTATGGAAATATTTTGGATCACAGATTATTGGTAGTCAACTCAGAATAAATGGGAATTGGAAACAGTCATATAAATATAAATATGCCATTTACAAATTGAATTATACTATAAAGGCATGGTGGAACAAAAAAAACCAAAAAAGAACCCAAGAAAAAAAAATAGCTAAAAGTGAGTACAAGTTTAACAGTATCTTAAATTCATGATACATGAATGATATCATACTCATCATTTTTTAAAACATAAAGCTAGCAAAATATTAAAATTATCTTATCAGTAGCTAAAACTGGGCATTCTCATCCTTCCATTCCCATGTTTTCTAAGCTGTGGCACATTTAGGAAGGATAATGCTCATGTGGCACGCGGAGGGCAATGCAATGGACATCCGTAGTTGTGCACCTGAAAGGCTTCCGGCCCACTCAACGCTCTAGCTGACCGGTCAGTGTGATATCATTCACCTGGAAACACCAAGCACAGAACAAGCCATTTCTACTCCATACCTCTTGGGGGAAAGTATGAAGAAATGAATCCATTTCACTTTTAAGTGAATTTTAAATTTCAATGAACAAAATCTGGGTTTTGGCTATGATACAAAAAGGAAGCATGATGGTAACAAATTCAGGAAACAGAAGTGGGGGGGACAAAAATGCTGAGATTCTTCTAATTTATAATTTAAAGAATCTGTTTCAACGTCCGTACTTTTTAATTAGATAGTAAAACCAACCAAATGGACCTGAAAAATCACAACTTATTTTATAACATTTTACAGACCAAAGAAGGAGTAGGGAGCAGAAATGCAGCCTTTTTTGTTCATCCATATCTTAAAGCCTCCAATGACTGGAAAACATACATGAAGAAAAGCAAAGCCTTTTGATTTGTGATGATTTTTGTAAAGACAGAAAGCAAAATTTCAGAAGTGCAGGTAATGAAACAGTATATAGGTGTAGTTTTAAAAAGAAACTTATACAAACCATGAACAAGTAGAGTACACACATTCCTAGCCACATTTGGAAAAAAAATTAAAATATAAAACACTTTTTTTTTTTTTTTGCTCATTAGATGAAGTCTCTTCAAAGAAAGATGCTTTTTCTCTTTGTGAAGGACAGAACCCCTGGCCCCACAGCCACCAAATCCAAGTGCAATCTACCATTCAAGCCTGCTACTACACGGTGGCCGTCCTGCTGCAGTTGGTGACACCAGCTGGATTTACTAGGGATCTGCAGCTGCACGGTCAGCCTGCTCCGGCTTAGGGGCTACTCATCTGCAGCATAGGCTACTTAGAGAAATCTCACACCTGCTGAGGTGGGCGGGACTACATCTTCCTATAACTCGTTCCAGCATTCTTCTAACAGATGTGCACGTTGCCTCTCCTTCTGGGAAACAGCACAGGGAGTCCACGCACTTGATACTTGAATTTGTTTCAGTAAGCTGGAGGAGTTGAAGCAGAAAAATATCAGTTATTTATAGATCTGAACTTCCAAAAAGCAAAAAAAAAAAAAAAAATCATAACAAGCACTTTGAAGCCCAAAGTAATGCATATAAATATTCATGCTTTTCTATAATATGGAAACCTACAAAAAGCCTTAATAGAGTATATTCATACAAAAATATTTAAAAGCTTTGTGTTCTAAATTAGAGGTCTACTAGAATAAATAAAGTAAGCAGCTGGATATTATTTAAACCTGCAAAGGCACGGGACTTCATCTCTTTAATTTATTGTGGTTAAAAGGGTATCTATATCAACCACTGAGGGACACAATGAATTCTAATTCTTCCTGAGACACTCCTAAAATCTCAGTGACAGTGTCTTGCAATGGAGAAAAGTGGAGTGTCAACTCTCTTGAAGACTGGGAAGGACAAATCAGGCAGGCCCTAACTACAGTCTCCAAAAATAGTAACAACAGCATCAAGCACCTCACCCAGATTAGTGTGTGCCAAACTCTAAGCACTCTACATAATATTGGCTTCATAGCTATCTGTGGAAAAGGTCTGATTTACCTTAAGTTACTATAAAGCAATTAAATGCCAATTATGCTCATTCTATGTAACATCAGCTGATGGCAGGTTGTTAAAACATATTAAACAAGTAACTCATACAATTAAGACTTAAAATTCAAGATTTATATTGATTCAGGCATAGACAGTGCAGTGAGATAACTTAATTCCATACTGTTAAACAGTTTTAATGGCTTTAACATGAGGGGAATATGGCATGACTTTGTTACTCAATGAGTCCCAACCCAGGTTTTGTTCATCAATAGTGTTCCTAATTTATCACGGGTTGTCATTGTTCAAAAAAAGTTTATTTTATTGCAGTTTTCTTTAACAGAGAACATCATGCACAGCAAATCTTTTGAAGATTCCGAGGAAGGAGAATGGAGAATAACAACAAATTCCCTAGAGGTTGGGAATCATGATGTGTTGGGGACACACAATGGCAGAAATGCTCACAATGGACATGGAGACAGACGTGGAGCAGGAACAACCTGGCACCCTGGACGGAAGCTACTGGGGAGGCTCTGCAAGAGTCAGGTGCACGCTCACTCGGCCTGACATGGAGCAGTGCAAGCTCCGAGCTATCTGAATGCACTGACACAGTCATTCTTCCACTGCAGCCCTGGGTTTAGGATCCGGTAGGGTACTGCCGCTGCATGTAGGCATTTCACAACAAGTGATTCTGTTGGCTCTTAAGTTTGGAAACACCGATTCAACAGAAGCTCTACAGGGGGCTCTTAAAGTAAAGAATTTTCTAAGCAAGTTAGGATTCAGGGTCAATCTTTAGAGGGAAACTTGAGACATCATACTTTTGCAACTTGCTTTTGTAGTAAATTCTACTCTTTCTCATCAGGAAAACATTAAGCAACACAAGGTACATCAATGCTCAGAGCGGGGCAGGTGCTATGGTACAACTGCTACTAGAGACACCTGTACCTTACACTAGAGTGCCTGATTCCAGTCCTGGCTGCTCTGTGCTTCGCATCCAGCTGCCTGTGGATGCACCTGAGAGGCAGCAGAAGCTGACCCAGCCACCTGGTTCCTGCTACCCATGAGGGAGTTGCTGGCTCCTGGCTGTGTCTTGGCCTAGGGGTCATCTGGGGAGTCAGTCAGTGACTGAAAGATCTCCCTCGAATAAAACAACTTGAAAAACACACTCAGAGGATTGGTCTTGGAAATACTGGTTTAAGTAACAGGATTTTATCTGATACCCAATTTCTTCCTTGGGTCTTTGTGATTTAGTTTCACTTAAGTTCACCCCAGAATTCTAGGGCTTCCACATGCTCAATGGAGAAACTACATTTCAGGGGACCCTGAATGCCCTTTTTAACCTGGCTCCAGGCTGCTCTTCCTGCTCTACTTCTCATGCTCCTGTGTAGGGTCCACACCAACCAGGAGGTACCTTGTTGCCTACGGGCATGTGTCAGGGCTGCTACCATGATGTTACGGTCAGAACTCTAACCACTATGCCAAAGTTAATTTTAAATCTCATCATCCCCTTGCAACTTCTGTCCTCTTGCCAACTATGACAAATCACTTCCTATTTCAACTGTATTCCACGCTTGTCTATCATTTAAATGGCACAATTACTTACATTCGGCTTGTATTTATTGAGCAAAGTACTGTGCCAGTTCCCACAGGAGACAGCAATTTCCCCCTCAATTTGGAGAGCTAAAGGTAAAGAAAATGGCGGGAGAGAACAGAGGAATTTGCTATGCTCTGTGCCCATGAACCATGGAAGAACCTTCACATGGTTAAGTCTCACAGCTTGTAACAACCTTCGGTAGGAAGCACCTAGGTCACCCCCATTTTACAGATGAGACAAAGGGATACCAGACTATTCCAGCTGGGGACCAACGCTTTCTTTGATTCCAGACCCCAAACCACATTACCATGTATTACATTTTCTTCTAACTGTGGCATGAGGCAAATGACTCAGAAAAGAGAAGGAAAAACTCACGCTCTGCTGTTGTTGTTAGTAAGAGCGCAAGAAAACCAGGATGAAAAAAGACAGCAATTGGAATACATCTTGAAGAATGGGTAGGATTTCAGTAGCTGGAAGAGTGACAGAAAGGACATTCCAAACTGATGGAAGAGAACGAGTAATTATGTGTGGACAAAAGTGCGGATGCTATGTCCTCAGCAGAATCTCAGCGTAGGTTTAAAGGAGGATTGCCCTCTTGCAGAATAACCAGAGCGACTCAAACTATGACCCCCAGATGGATGTTGGCCCATTAACCCTCTACCATGGGCTCGTGAAGAGAGAAGTGTTTCTGCTGAGAGTGAGAGCTTTCTGAGTTTTATAGCAATTTGATAGACTACTCTTAATCGTTGAAACAAAAAATGAAAAAAAAATCTGAATTTACATCTTCTAAAATTAATTTTCCTAATACTTTATTTACAAAACGACTGGTTCACAATGGACTGGGAATTGAAAACAAGCGAACAATAAATTGGTTGTTCACTTCATGGAAATACTGAGACCAGAAACTCCAGAGCAAGAATTGTGTCTGGTAGATCTTCCATTAACGTGTACTTTGCTCAGAGGAGGTGCTGGATCAGGTCTGAAGAGATCTGTGCAAGGTGACACAGGACAGTAACCAGCCTGAGTGCTCACACAGCTTAGAGGGCAGCTCAGGTGTGGACCCAACCTCAGGAATCTATTTTGCTTTGCATGCACTACTCTTCACTGCAAAACCTAAGGGCAGGTATTAGAAATTAAAATATGGACAACCCAATAGACAGAATAAACAGTTTGAAGTTTCAGAAATATTATGAATAAATTACTTCTTCAGATCACTTTTGGCATTAAACAAAATACTGTTTCTTTATTCTTAAAAAAGAACCCCTAGCTGATTACAAAATGCTAAATGCAGGTTAACTGTGTAAAGCTATCTATAGAAAATGCTATTCTAACTTTCAAATTCCATTACTTCCCATGGACACATCTCTGACCCCAATAGTGAGCAACTGGCAGTCTGGCAGAGTATGTGTAGCCATAGTTGCCAGTAAAAACTGGGGGTGGATATGGGATGGATCATCCAAAGACAAGGAACTATCACATTTTGGGGGAAAAGAAGCAGAGAAAATAAAAAAAGGCAAGTGACACAAAGAGGTAACTTAAATGATCAGAATTTTGATTAATTAATATGTATCATTCTCTATCATACTTGCTTCACAGGAATGGCCACATAATTTAGAGCAAGAATGGCTGCCAAGCAAAACAACCATGGATTCTCAACATGACTATGTATGGCCAAGAAATGTTCATCCCTCTAGAACTTCTTTTTGAAATAAATTCGGGCTCTCCACTCTTTTCATATCAATGATAGTAAACGTCAGAAGTTTCTCTTAGATAAAATACCTGCCTTAAATCTTACAACCTTCCTTCAATGTTATAAATATTAGAAAACTGTCTTACATTTCTGTTTTTTAGTTATTTCTATGACACCTTATTCAAGTAAGTCAGATAGCTTTTTAAAAAGAGTTTAAATATTGCCAAACTGTTAACCAAATTAGGTCCTTTGCATTTAGATTGTTTTTTTTTTTCTATACTGTGTAATCAATGTGAACATCTTGCATAGCCTTAACAGTGGTACTTGGAAAGAAGTTTCAACTGTAATTCTGAAAAAAAAAATGTGCTTATGGGAGTGATGTCCTTTTCAATGAAAATAAAAAGTCATCAAATACCGCTGATTTCCAAATTTGGCTAAGATCTGGGTAAGAATCATAAACATCTAAAACAAGAACTGCAGCAAGGAGAGCAGTGATGGGCAGCTGTAGGCAGCTGCTTCTCCGACTCCAGCCTCTTTTCCCAAAGCATGCCTTAAGCTCACCATCACTCCTCTCAACTCCCTTTCCTCTGCCCGTCTAAGTAGAACAAACAACTCTGGAATACGGGCAGTTGAAAGTATGGAATATGATCACAGACATGGTCATGTCAACACTGTCTTTCAGAGATTCCAGATGGGTGCAAATTACATTTATGAGGAAAACTTATTTTGATAGTTTGGTTTACTCTTTGTTTCAGAATGGTGTAAGATCAGCCCTTTTATTTTAATGGTGTACTTATTCAACTAGTTATAGAAATAACAACATATGATCAGGACTTTGTAGCTGATCTAAAGAAGTTGGCCAATACCTTTGAAAAACAATTCCAAATCTAATGGCGAGGGTAAATTAATAATGCCACAAGGCATAAAGGAGAAAATTCACTTATTTTTTCCAAAAGCAACCACAATAAGGTACCTGTTAAATTCCAAAAAACAAAAACAATCCAACAAAACCCCCAGAAATTCTCAGCACCACTGTACATTTTAATAGACATATTAAAGCAAAGAGGTGCCAGATTCATGTCTTATGAAATAAACACTTGAATTTAAAACCTTTGGGGAATTTTCATCACCTAGGGTGTAGTTTCATAGTTTCAGTAT